ATCCAACAGGTGGGTATCTCGGTAGCCACCTTAGTTGTAACTAAAGCATTAGAGAGTAGCGAGGGCCTTTCAAAGGGAAGTCACATGAAGGGGACCGGCCCAACGGGGGGTCCGAAGCGGCCCTAAACAAACGTCTGGAGGAATTAGGACGGTAAGTGGGCCGAGGGACCTACCCGGCCACGGGACGACAGGCAAACGACCACGCGGCCGTTCAAGCCGCCCATTCACATCCAAGAGGCCCGCCCCGGGACGCGGACCGAGTCCATTACCGTGCAGACAGGCGGACCCAAGGCCGGAATAGCGGACCAGAAGAGGGTGAGGTCTGGCCCGTCGCGCCATGGCATGACTACCAAGGGGCCGAGCGGACGCCGCCCAGCCCACGAGAGGCACCACCAACATCGAGAACGAGACCGGCGACCGCGGCCCCAATACCGCTGACGAACCCGACAACTTCGACGCCCCCACTCGTAGGACCGAGCGGACCATCAGCAGGGGACCCGATACCAATGGACCTGGAAACGCCAGGGGCGCCGCAACCAACACCAGAAGCGGAGCGACGACCGGCAACAACCCACTTGACGCAGTGTCCCCACTGCGGCGCCATGGTCGGCCGGGGACACCAGTGTTGGGTGACCCGGAAGCGGTACAAGTGCTTCCGCTGCGGGCAGCCTAACCACCTCGCGGTAGTATGTAAGAGCCAGACAGGAGTGGCCGTTAAAGTCCAAGAGGCACAAGACAGCACCGTACTATGCAGAGAAATCGACCGGCTGAGCCGTCAACTGGAGTTCCTCACTAGCAACGCCGACCCACCCCTCGCAGGCCCACAAGACCAAGAGGCACCAGAAGCCGCCGCAAACAAACGCCCTTTTGGAGAACGGCCGGTGCCAGGAAACTAGGGGCCGTAGCTACTACCACTTCATGCTTTTTGCCAATGACGCACGATAGTCGCGAGATCCTGGCACTTGTCGATACAGGGGCAGAGGTTAACATCATCGGTCAGGGACTTAACCCCCGTCCAACGGAGGGGAGTCCCCTCCGGTTAACCTTCGCCGACGGGAACCACGAGGAGTGCACCACATGGGGCAAAATCGAGGTTAACGTGAGGGACGGTGAGAAGCAAGAAGTAGTGGGGGTAGTCTTACGGGGCACCGGCCAGCTTATATTAGGAATGCCCCACCTGGAGGGGCACGGGGCAGTAATAGACATCCAAGGACGACGGATATCAGTGGACGGAAAATGGCATAATCTAATTAGGGTCAACGGGGCCGTGAACAGGGTACAGGTACGGATGATGGATCCGGTATTGGAGGAAGCCCTGGGAAGTGTGCCGTCAACGAGATTGACAAGTCGGAGTTGAGAAGGGTCCTCACGAAGTTCGAAGACTTATGGAAGGGAGATGAGATAGGGCGGACGACAGCGATAGAGCACCGAATCGAAGTGACGGACCCGAAGCCGATTGCGTGCCGCAACCGCAGATATACGGACCAGCAAAAGGCGGTCATAGAGAAAGAGGTAGCGGACATGATCCAGAAGGGAGTGGTCCGACCAAGCTTTAGTCCGTACGCGTCGGGGGTGGTGCTAGTAAAGAAAAAGACTGGCGAGTGGAGGTTCTGTGTGGACTACCGGCCGTTGAACGAGGTGACAGTACGGGACAAGTTCCCACTACCGAGGATAGATGACCTGCTGCGGGCGGTGAGAGGTTCGCGGTGGTTCATCGCATTGAATCTGCGAGCAGAATACTGGCAAGTAGCCATGAGGGCAGAGGACATTCCGAAGACGGCATTTAAGACGCCCTCAGGACTATACGAGTTTGTCGTGATGCCGTTTGGCCTAGTGAATGCCCCAGCGACGTTCCAAAGGATGGTGGAGAACCTCTTCGGGGACCTCTACTGGAACGGGGTGCTCGTATACCTGGACGACATCCTAATCCACGCAGCGACCCTGGAGGAAGTATTTGCGAAGCTGGAAGAGGTGCTGAAGAGACTCCGAGCAAGTGGTCTGAAGCTGCGGTTGTCCAAGTGTTCGTTCCTACCGGAACAGGTCGAGTACCTCGGGCATACGATTACCGAGGGCAGGATAGCCCCCCAGCCAAGGAAGGTGGAAGCGATAGACGCCCTGCAGCCACCGCGGGACGTAAAAGGGCTACGATAAGCCCTCGGGATGGCTGGGTACTACAGGAACTTCATCCCGAACTACGCCGAAGTGACGCAGCCGCTCACGAAACTCATGCGC